GTATGATACAGCACTCGTCCCAACACCGGCACTGCGAATGTATGCATGTATCATGTATGTGTGCGGGTGTATCATATGTGTGAAAGACAGACAGAGAGAATTTTCCCCGGTTACCATTTCCGAATTCCCGGTTATTTACTCTCTGCGCCTTTTTGCCCTCGGCATCTTACCTTGTTTTTTGAGGCGTTTGATCCGCCCTCCGGGGCTGGTGGGCATCGAGGTGAACGTGGTGTACCGTACTAGTACGGTAGTCTACGAGTACTCGAGTACTCGTACCGCACCGGTAGTCTAGGTATCCACGGTATCGTAGCGAGTAGGGACGAAGGAAGGAAGTAAGGGAGCAAGGGATGAGGCGTAGTCCAATGGCGGAGTCGGATCGGAAGAAGGATGCTAAACATATTGCCTCCCGATAGCATCATCCCTGGCTTGTGCTCGAGCTGCCAAGTTTAAACGTCCGAATTCGACCCGGGTGCGCTAGTATCGTCATCTGCTAGGCGGTTCCGGTATGGAGATTCCGTGTCAGCAGCCCTGTGCCCGTGTGATATCCCCTGATAATATGGCGAAGGGTGGATGCCGGCAATGGGGTGACGGGCTTCCAAATGGTAACTTACAAGTAACGGCAAACTCCCGCGGACCTGGAAGCCCGTCGTATCATCGTGCAACACCCGTGCATGGAGCGGATACGGCGCAGAGATGGAAGTGCGGCCACAGGTGGCAACCTTCAGCACGGAGAAAAGATGCTGTACAGTACTGTACGGTACTGTACGGTACTAGTACAGTACCTGTATTAATGCAAGGTGTTATATAGATGCCGTTCGCTAATAAGTTACGTACCGTACCGGTACCGGTACAGAAGTGTACCGTAGAGTGCTCGGGTAAGCCGGACAATTTAAATTTCCGAGAGCTCGAAGCGAAAGAAAAAAGAAAGACAGCATCTCGAACACCGCAAAAACTCCCTACTCGAGTACAGTACTCGAGTACATCTTCCTACGGCATCGGCCTCGGATCTCGCCAACGAGAGACTGAACTCCCCGGGAAGGAACAGTGCTTTTCCAGACGGGGTATAGCCCGGGGAGGCTGAGCTGGCTTGATCTCATCAAGCGGTCCTGTACTTGTACAAGCATTCGTTATTTCGCTAACCTGCTCATCCAAACCTGCTATGGTTTGGGGCGATTCCTTTGAGATCTCCGATAGAGGATTTTGCTAATTTTTTTCCGGTGTCACACTCGTACTGTACGTACCTCATCTCTCCCCCTTTTGGAATCGTTATCCCAAACCATTATAACCGTCCCCGGAGATTTTTAGGTTTATTTGGAGATACTTGTTCGTTCAGACGAGTCCGCCTTCCGGTCTCCCCTCACCCACTCACTCTCACCTCACAATATAATTCTTTACTTTTTCCTGTACCCCCTCCCCTTCCACTCCTGGTGGAGGGAGAAGGAAAGAGAAGCGGAAGACTTCCGGCAGAGTACCGGTGGGGCATGACATGGACAATGCCACCTTCCCTTCCAGCGGGCCCTCGATGCGAGCGTTTCCGTAGGCACACGAGAAGCCATGATAACAGCTATGTTATGGTACTTGTACCAAGAAGCACGGGGGTGGGGGTTGGGTACGGTAGGGTAGAGAGGCAGCGAAATAGAGGTCGAAATGCGGAAAGAAAGTTCATAACCAACGCGCTGGTTCTCGGTCTCCCGGCACCACAACCCTCGTTCAATCCAATCTACAAGTACCGGCAGTATACCAATGTTGCCTCTCTCCCCCTCTCCCTCTCTGGCATCATTCTCACTTGATTCACCTCTGTTTTTTTTCTTCTTCCTCCTATTTTGCCTTGTGCAACTGCTTCTCACATCTTATTATGTCGGTATGAGTACCGGTACCGGTACCGTATTGAATCGGTAGGATGAGGTACTCGAGTGGTTGCGAGCCCCGGACTGGATTTACTTTTTTTTTTATTCAAAAGGGTTTATTTTTAAATACTCTTTTCTTTTTTTCTTCTTCCTCCTCTCTTCCTTCTTGTGTGGTCAGTGGTGGCTAGGGTACTCGAGTATGATACTAGTACTTTGTTGCCTTCCCCTCATCTCCAGGTTTTCCACTCGCCTTTCCTAATGGGGAAGTTTGGGTTTCGCTTCGTGTCCAGTCGGGTCGGGTTGAGGGTTCATGGGTTACGCCCGTATCGGTACTTCGGCCGTACTCCCACCGCAATCCGCAGGGTGTTTCCCGAAGGACAGGGAGAGAGGGAGAGGGAGAGAGATGGCGAGGGCGAGGGCGAGGGAGCGAACGAGTGAGGCAGTACGGGTGAGACTAACGAAGAGGAAATAATTACTAATGAGTCTTTGGAGCGTCTTTGTTTTTTCTTTTTTCCTTGTTCCCTCTCTCTCCCTCTCTCTCTTTCTTTTCTTTTTTTCCTTCCTTTATTTTTTGAGCTGCTGGTGACGGGTGGTGGTGTGTGCGGGGAGCAGAGCAGAGTCCATTTCACTGCCCGGGGAATCATCATGGAGGTTGGATTATTATTACCATCACATTATATCATCCTTTCAACGTTGGAGCGTCGATTTCTAGAATATTTACCGGTTTTTGTGATAGAGTTTCCTCTCTTATGCTCACTTCAGCCGTGAGGTTGGTCGCGAGCTGCGGACATTCCTCATTCCCCCATCCAGCATTCACCCCTCCTGCGAGGTTTAGGTAACCGATGATGATGATGATGATGATGATGATGCTGATGATGATGATGATGGTGATGATTGATTATTTATGGGGTTTCTGCATTAAAATTTGATATAGGGTATTTATATCCTGTGATTCTTCGATTTTATTTTTATTTTTCCCATCCACCTTCGCTTTGGGGATACCTTTCGGAGGAAGGGCCTTTGATCCTCCTCCACGCCTCCGTCGTGTCTATCGTGTCCTTCCGCTCTCTCTCTCCCTTTCCCCATTCTGCCGCACCGCATTTCCCTTTCAGACAGCGCAATGCGGTCTCCGCCTCTCTCTGCTCGCCATCGTCGTCATCCCACAATCGAGTTGGGAAGTGGTGGACTGCAGGCGACCGAGCCAGAGCGCCTGTTACTGTAGAGTACCCACCCACATATGTTACCCACATCACACAACCTGCACCCTTGCCCTCCTCACTGGCCACGCTGGTGTGTCCGTCTGCTTTGGCCAATGATTCACCTGCCTGCCTGAGTGTGTCGCCTATGTTGGACTGTTCGAGCACCAGTGGACAGGTTCGTCTTCACAATCTGCTGAGCTGTGTGTGACTATTATATCGTGCACCGAACAAGTCTCATGCTCTCGCGGACATCACGGAATTATTCAAATCCATTCGATACCACAATGTCACGTGTGATATGTATTGGGGCCGTGCTTTTTGCCTCTTTCTCCCTCCCTGCCTCTCTTCCTACTTACTCGTACATGTACTTTCCTCTCTCACACATACACACACACACACCCTCTCTCTCTCTCTTCGGTAATCGGAATTGCCTCGTTGTGCATACCGCTTGGGGTTGGATTGGAAAGGGAAGGCGGGGGTCGACTGCCAGATCCTCGATTTTCACATTTGCCAGCTATTATTCCGGGTTGAATTGCATGCCTTTTATGATCTTATGCCCTCGATCTCTGGGTGAATAATTATCACCATCAGCGTCATTCTCTACTGCTCCTTCGCGTTACCGACAAGCGCTCCCTGACCTGCTTTTTTGTGTGCTCCGAGTGTTGAGGAATTGTGCTAGTGAATAGAGTACTCGTATCTTGCATCTGGTTCCTGAGATTGAACCTTATCCTCACTACAATTTGACACCGTGAATGCGAAGCCATTGTCGAACACTCACACGCCCACGATTCGATTTGTGGTTTAGTGGGGGATAGTGACTCGCTCCGAACTCCCTGAGTAATTAATTGCCAACTGTTCTCGTACCATACCGTACGGTACTCGAGTACTCGTTGTATCTTCTCCATTCCCAGCGGTCCACCGCACGGTGCCGGTATCGTTGTGGGCACCTACGGTAACCGCAGTCCCACAGTGTGGCTTTATCACCCTTTTTCTCATTATTTTCCTTCTTTTTTTTTTTCTTTTTCTTCTTTTTTTCCGGATTCATTATTATTATTGATTCATTTTGCCCGCCCCATCCACCATCGAGAAGGAGAGGTCCATTGTTCTTTTCCAACACCTCCCGGGTTTGAACGCTGGGTTTTGATTCCTCCTTGGTGATGATATTTGGAGCGATGGTATTGTGATTCATTGCTTTTTTATTTTTTTTCTAGCCACCAGAGGAATAATCTCTGGCAGAGAGAGAGGTCTTTGTGCGAGCCGTTACGCTGCATAAGCAGAGTGGGAATCACCGTCTCCAATCAAAAAGCTGCAGACCCCCCTCCCACCCAGAAGTCGCACACAGGCGGACGCCCAGCTGCACCACAAAAGAAAAAGAAAAGAGAGAAGAAAAAAAAAAAAAAAAAAAAAGAAGAGAAATCATCCCAGTCCTGGATGCATCCCAGTTGCCACCTACTTACTACCATAGCCATCCATCCTGTCTCACAGAAGGTATTCTCCTTCTACGGTGCGGTACTCGAGTACACTACCCTTCTTCCCCCCCCCCCCCCCTTCCCACTCAAAGAAGTGACTTTGGGCTCTCTTCTGCCTGTCGACAGACGACGACGACGACATCTATCTCTGCGGAGACGAGAGAGAGGGGGGCTTGCTTGTCTCTATTTTCTCCGTCTTCTCTCTCCCCCTTCACCTCTTCCTCTTCCTCTCTTTCCGCTACATCTTTCTCCTTCTCTCACCCCTCCCAATCCCCCCCCCTCCTCTTCCCTCTTCCTCTTCTCCTCTCTCTCCCTCCTCCCCCCCCCTTCCCTTCCCTTCCTCTCCTCTTTCCCTTCCTCTCTCTTTCCTCTCTCTCCTTTCTCCGCTCCTCCGCTCCTCGCACCATCTGGCGGGTTCTCCACTCCGGGTATCCCTTAACCCCCCCCCCTCCATCCCATCCCCGCCAGCCCTTGCCAGCCCGAACAGCCCCAGTGGCAGCAGCAGCAGGCCGAAGCTACAGCATTGTCACCTGGCCTACCTTCACTTAATCACACCTCGCACCACCGCCGCCGCCCCTCCCTTTTTCCTACTATCATATTGCTCCGACTCCGTCATTATTCCAGACCGGTTCGCCGCCCCCTCCACGACTAGTCATTGACAGCACCGGCTTGTTCTTTTTTCTTTTCTTTTTTTTCACTCCTTCTCGCAGAGCATTGGACTTTGTCCTGTGGGTTGGCCAAGGGAATTAGGACAAAAGGTACTAGTGAAGTAACTTGGTGAAAGCCCGACTGACGGTCTTGATTTTAAAAAAAAAACCCTATTGAGACTTCGAAACAAGATCATTCATCTCTTCCTCCCCTCTTCACCCTCCCCCTCAAACCTCATCCCACCCTAAAAACTCCCCAAACCTTACCCTGCTTGCCCATACCGTTATAGCATCCATCATCCCCGTCCGCTTAAAACGGTTCCCTCGATCTCTACACTCCTTGCCGTGTCCCGTCAAGTCTGCTGCTTTGCTGCTACACACACGCACACACACACCATCTTTTTTTTGTGCTCTGCTGCAGCTATTCGCCGCCCCCGCCGTTGCTGCTTATTCACACACCCGCTATATGCTTCTTTCCTTTCCCAGGCACGTTCTCTCAACGTGAACTTTGTCTTTCATCCCACATCCCGCTACCATCACCCTTCTCCCTAAAGCTCCCCTTCCTACTACTTAGAACACACACCCCAGTCCATGCCACTACTGCTGCACCCTACTTCGTACCATTACTAGCACTTTGGTTTCTTACAATCTACCGAGTTTACAGTTTATTCGCCGAAGGAACCTGGCCAATTGAGCCAACAATCTCTGCCGCTTAGACTCCTTCGGGCCCGTGTTCGTCAAGGAGCGTAGCATGTCCCTTGCGCTTACCGTGCATCCGGTCCACCAGCAGCAGCACTCCGTCGCACGAGTCGATTTTCAGTATCCAACGACCAACCACTCTATGGATAGAGGCTCATCCGAATACGCACAATCTGGTTTGTCATCGTCAGCCTCTTATTCTCAATTTCCCAACAATCAGACCGAGTCTCGAACGAACGAGCAGTCTACGAATTACCAATCATCCTCTCAGGATCGTTCCGTCGCCTACTCCTCCTCGGCTACTCCGTCTTCGGAATACGGTGGCACAGGAGGTTCAACGGCTCGAGCTCCAAACTTTCAACCGGAATATAACTTGGGCGCTCCACGTTATCCCTCTAGTAGCACCGGTACAGGTAGCAGTGGAGGTATGAGTCACGCATCTCATTCTAACTTCTCCCCCCTCCCACCATTGGCACAAAGCCTTCAACGTCCAGTGAAGCCCGATCCTGAATCTTCTGAAGATCCCAGTACGAGTGTCTCAAGCCCGACCTATCCTCCTCACCAACCGGCTCAGTACCATCCGTTCCCACCGGCAGGCACAATGTCAGAACCATACACTCACCCACACCCAGCGACCTCTGCTTCCGGTTGGCGCCAGGATTGGCCGTCTCAAGGTTATGCGCAGCCTCCCCACATGGCCTATAGTACTCATCCTGGAGCAGTCGGGGGTGTCGCTAGTCCGGCTGAGCCAGGGCGTAACAGCAACAGAAATCCGAACCGAAAACGCATCTCCGATCAACCGCCCACGCATCCTCTCTCACAGGTTTACTCCTTTGTACCTATCCCGGGCGCCCAGCAGCACAAACGGCCCCGCAGACGTTATGAGGAAATCGAGCGAATGTACAAGTGTGGATGGCATGGTTGTGAGAAGGCTTATGGGACACTTAACCATTTGAATGCACATGTGACGATGCAGAGTCATGGATTAAAACGTACCCCAGAAGGTTTGTTGCACACTAGGTTTTCTACTGTTACCCCCCCCCCCCCCCCCCCCAACTTCGTCCCGCCTCCAACTGGGGGGCTCGGTGTTATATATCCGGTTGAAATGGATATGATGCACGAATGCTTGCGGCTATTCCTAACACGTACTTTCATCGTTTACTAATACGATCACGTAAACAGAGTTCAAGGAGATTCGGAAGGAATGGAAGGCCCGCAAGAAGCAGGAGGACGCGGAGAGAAAGGCACTCGATGAGGAAGTGCGTAGGTCAAGCGTTGAGAGTGGCCAGCCTAGCGAAGCTCAGAGCCAGGCACCCGCCCCGGTGCCCGTATCCGGTGCACAATACACACCCATACCTCCTCGTCAGCTTCCGCCACCCCTTCCATACGCAGGTGCACCCGTTCCCGCCAATGTTCATTACCCTGCAGCTCCTGCTGCCGGCATGGAACCGCTGCCACAGTACTCTCAGCAGCAGCAAGTATACCCGGGATATCCTCAGTCGGGATACCCCCAGTCCATGTACACTGCCCAACGCCAGGCGCCAATTCAGAATGCGAACAACGGAGAGGGAGATGGGGACGCGGAAGCCGACTCAGATGTCGCGGCAACGGCTCAATCTTACAGCCAGCATAGCCTTAATGCCAGTTGAGCGACCGACCACTACCACTATACATATCACTTTGGAGGGCAAATGACGAACGTGTCATGATATTTTCCTTTTTTCTTTCATATCTAGGAACATGGGTTCTTTTTTCTTTCATCCTCGCCGCCTTCACTTTCTACTGTCTATGCTTTCTCGGGGACTCTTCACCCCCGTCATTCTTCGTACAAAATAGCATTGTTGAGGGGATATCTGATTTTGTTTGTTTTTCGCTTTTGCTATTTTCTGGGGGACATGGGCTCCTCGCCGATGCACCCAGCGGGGGTTGTGTTTTTATGCCTTTTTTGTTCACTGTTCATTTTTACCTGGCTACCATTTCCCCCTCATTTTTCTCTCTTTTTTTTTCCCCCTTCGTACAAAATCGTGTTCTATGGGGGTTGCCAAACATAGATCTCGCCTTTGGGCTTTATGGGGGGTTTTCCGTTTTTACTTTTTAGATTCGGTTGGGTTGCATTTCTTGAGGCGAGAAGAGAGAGTAAGGGGAAGAGGGGAAAGCAAAAAGGGCTCTGTTATTACCCAAGGGCTTGCTCTTTTGTTTCCTTGCTTATCCCATATTTAGTTTTTCGTTCACCCTTTTTTCTCTCTCCCCCTCTTCTTCGCCACAGTCTGTTTCCCCTCCCCCCCCATCAGTTATTTTCCCTTTTGCTTCTACTTTCCTTTCCTTTCATTTTTTTTTAACCTCATGGGTTTGTCCCTGTGTTCCGTTCCTTGTCCTTAATTTGTTAACTCTTGTCAGATTTGTATAGTAATTGAGTAAATAAAAAAAAAACGACCCCCTCCCGTGATTGGGAAATGATTAACAGAGTTGGGTGCCCTTGTCTCCAATGCTTTTCTTCTCGTTCTTTGTTCCGGGGTTGTGAGTGCGAGTAGAGTACCTGTATGGCATAGTGGGTGAGATGCTCGATTGCTTGCAGTGCGGATGGGGTTGGGTGGGGAGAGACATGCATTTCTGGACGAGCGAAGCCGTTTGAAGGCACGCACGCACGCACGCACTCCCTCCCTGTTTTGGGGCAAGAAGTGACGGTTGCTAGATGGGTAAACTAGTGATGGCGATTGACAGATGGCTTGGTCCCACCCACTACCCACTGCACTCGTGCCATCTCGCGGTGATTGGCGACAAGGTGAGGTGAAGTGGAATTCTCTTTGCAAATCCTGGTTGATGGGTGGGTGGGTGGATCGATTAGTTTGAGGCTTTCTTCTTCGTTCGTTAAACTGGGTGTAGGACAGTTCTTTGACCAGACTCCCTTTCGCCTTTCTTTCTTTCTTTCTTTCTTTCTCTCTCCCTTTCCCTTCCATCTTTCCATCTTTCGGTCGTGCGCTCTATCACGGGCTTTGCCGATCCTATCTCTTTCCGGGAGGAATCACCTCCCTACCCCTTGCCTTACTGCTAGTTTGTGCGGTGTACCTTACCTTAACATACTCACACACCTTAGCCTTTTGTTTCTAGCCCCAATACCGTATCCTCATAAGATGTAGGTTTTTTTTTTTTTTTTTTTTTCTCCCACTTTTTTGCTTATTACAGTTGCTTGTGACTGGTTGTGGTGGTGGTGTTATACATGTGCTGGGCCTTCTAGCGGGCTTCTATGATATACTTTTTAGCCAAGCAGCCAACGGCGGTGGTGGCGTTATCGGTTGGTTGAGGGGATGTGGTGAGGCTCTGCTTGCTCCACTTTCTTTCTGCCTTGTGCGGATTGTGGGTGTGGGTGCGGGTGTGTGGCTGGTGGTGTGATGTCCTGTCATCATCAAGGTTGGATGGAGGAGGGGTGTTAGTCTACCGGTACCGTATTCCGTGCTCTCGGACCAGCAGATGTGGTGATGGTGGGGCTTGGTGGGGCAGTGGTGCTCGCACGAGTACCGCTACGAGTACTGTATTCCTCGTACGGTGGGTATCGCATGAGCAGTACTCGTATCTGCCGTACCAACCTACCGGTATCATGGGCTGTCATGATGTCTGTAGAGGATACCGGTACCCATGATATCCTACAGTACATCTGCATAGTCTACAGTACCGGTACTGTACTGCACGGATACTATACTGTACTCTCGATTCCTCCCTCCTTCCTTTCCTCTCCAAGTACCGGTATTGGAGGATCCCCGGCAGCCCATTGCACAGGATTCTGCAAGTCATCTCGACACCCACTCCCCCCCCGCCCCCTCTCTCTCTCTCCCTACCCAGCAACCCATCCAGTCATCCAATGTTTTCCAAATTTATAGCACCCGCCCGTTCCTCTTTTTTTTTTTTTTTTTTTTTTTTTTGCACCTCGCGACTTTACTTCTTTCCCGAGGCGCACCCCCTGTTCTCCCAACGTTCCTCATCATGTGCAAGCACAGTAGTGTACCGGGCATCCCTATGATAACATTCCTTGCCTCGCATTCCTGTGCTGGGTTAGGTGAATGAGTGAGAGCACGTTTCTTTCTTTCTTGCCTTGCGGGCTGGGTACCGTACCGGTACTGTGCTGTACCGTAGGTTGCTTCCACTGGGGCGGGATTCGATGTAATAGGGATGTGCAAGCGCGTTGAGCTTCCTTTTTTGTTTTTTCTTTCCGGGCTTTTCATACGGTATTTGGGGTTTGACTGATGAGCGATAGATCCTATGTTTCCTTTTTCCCTTCACTCTATCTTTCTTTTTCTTGTTTTCGGTTTATTCATAACGGTATGTTTAGTGGAGGGAGGGGCGGCGATATCCATCTTGATGTGCTTTTCTACTTTACCGGTACTTTACGTCGTCAGATGCATGATGCGGGGGGAGGGAGTTGCATACTCTATTTGGATGCTCCCTTCCAGCGTTCCTTTTCTCACCCTTTCATCTCTTGCTCCTGCCCAATACTGACTTGACTATACGGTACAAATAGCCGTAGGACTGTGCTGAGGATGGATGGGTGCGACGTGGTGCCCCCGCTCTCGCTCTGTCAACGGTTCCGGGTAGTATGATAGACTGTCAGACAGTGCGGTGCAGTGCTACGAGTAGCCATCTTCCCTCGGGAACCTCGAGGGTGGCGCTATTTCTTAGGTTATATTGGGGTGCGCGGAACCAACAGCGGTTCCCATTAAGACCGCGAGGGTCGTGTCATCTCTGTCATCTCTGAGCTTATTTTGAAATGTGCGGAATTAATAGCACCCCCTCCCCTCCCCCCGAGACACTTCCGCGTGGTTGTTCACCCTCTGGGATTTCCTTTAAAGAGCACGGAATCAATAGTACAGTAATCCCCCTCGAGCGCTCGAGGGGCTCCATCATACCCAAGTAAATATAGCAGATGTAAACTGATAGCGGTCCCGATCGGCAACCACAAGGATTGCATAATTTCTGGGCGGGTAATGAACTTGCGGTAGTCCCTGTTGGCGCCTCGGAGATCGAGTGATTGCGGGATCGTGTCGGATTTGTAAGTATTGGATAGAGTGATAGAGATATTGAAACGATAATTAGTGAAAATAAAGGGCGGGAGCATTAAATTTTAACGGTGTTTTATATCTACTAATGGGTGATTAATCAGGAAATAAGTGCTGCGGGCTGTACCATGGCAATAGCGAATTTGAACATGAGTCTAAGCTACTTATTTTAGAGAGACTAAAACAGTACTAGATTAGATATATAATTATCAGAATTTGTGAGCAGACCAGACCACTAGCTGTAAATAAGGAATTGTTTTTTTATTTTTAATCTGACTTGACTCCTTTAAGTGAGAGATATGAGATCAATAGTAGAAAATAGAGTTAAATATACAAGGAGGATAATAGTTGTTATAGTATCGACTTTGTATCAAGTACCGGTGACAGGTAATAGTATAGTTTTTCCAGACCTCAGACTACTACACTTTAGTCTGTATACTTCTTAAATTCCATGGCTGTATCTAGAGTTCCTCCTAGAGTTGATCTCTTACCAACACCAGGCCCGGGTGTTTCAGTCCCGCTCACGCTGCAGCTTCAAGTTTAATTCAATCACTCTATTGATTTTCTTGCTAAAGAGTATCTTTATATACTAACATGCATGCGGTAAAAAGAATGGTAAATAAACAGTTGTATAAAGAACTGGCCGATTTGTGAAATGCTATTCCTTTAACAAAACCTCTTCCTGCAATCCTAATCTGATTAGTACAAGTTACAAGTATAATATATAATCTGTAGAAAAAAAAATCCTTACAACTTATACTTATATGAGTAGATATACTACCTTTCTCAATTAGTTTGATAATGTAGGACAACAACTGTTTTATAGCTTATGCTAGTAATTCTGAATCGCAGGAAATTGTATGAGGAGTACCGCATTTTTTGGGTAAACCCGAAATCGCACTAGGCAGTAAATGTGGTTGTTAGTGGGGTTGCCACACCTTAGGCTCCCGTTATCCATGGACCGCGGACATGGTGAACTGCCTTAAGTTAACGTCAGGAGTACCATACCGGTATTGGAGACTTGAAAACTGTGCTTCTCATACGTAGTTATTGTGTTGACAATACAGGAAGGGGTATGCTGAATCTGAATGAGATACTAAAGATGTAATAGTAAATTTGAAGAATATTAGGTGCATACAAACCCACTTCCTCTGTGGTTCATATCACATTCACGCATAGTATTTGGTGCCATACTCCAAATAATGGACATTGACCAACTCCTCAATCCGGCCAACGATGGAGGCTCATCAGTGAATATGCTGTTTGAGAATGAAGAAGTCAGGCCTGCGGATAAGCGAAAGGTTAGTATTCTAAAATTGATCATAAAAGGACTTTTAGAGGTGCTCACGATTAGAAACTTGTGCTATAGATCCGGCCAGGACGTTGTCCAAAGTCAATTTTGAACTGCAAAGGTCCCCGGTATGGCAAACCAAGAACTCGTCCTCAATGGTCATATACTCGCGAGTATAAGATAAAAGTTCTCCATTGGTGGGCCCATGAGAAGATCCCAGTTAGCAGTCGAGAAGAGGAGGATGATGTTAGTGGATCAAGACTTCGATCGCCATTTATTCGAGAGGTTTCAGACCACTTCATGGTACCAGCTACGACACTGCATGATTGGCGCAAAAATCATGAAAGAATTGTGAATTCAAGGAAAGGAGAACGCTGTTTTCGGGAGAGCAGGAAATACTGCCAGTGGCCTGCTTTGGAGGAAATTTTATATCAAGATATCAGAAGAGAAGGGAGAAGAAAAAACCAGTACGAAAATGCTGGTTACGTCGACAAGCCCATCAAGTCTTCCGTGAAGCCTATGCAGATCGAGATCCTATCGAATTCAGATTTTCAACCGGATGGCTTTCAGGTTTTCTCTCGCGGCATGACATTTCTTTACGATTTACAACAAATAAATCCCAAAAAATTCCTGAGGACTATCTAAACCCAATCCTTAGTTGGTTCCAGTTCAATCATTGTAACTCTCAAGTTCGGCCTGGAACTAGTGATGTGATAAGAGATGTCGGAAGGTACTGGCTACACTCAATAGTCAATATGGATGAGACTCCACTGCCCTTCGAGTTTCTTGATGGACAGACCTATGCAGACAAGGGTAGTAAGTCTGTGCAGGTAAAAGCTATGAGTAGTAGTTGGGATAAGTGGCAGGCTACTCTTATTCTTTCAATTTTTGGAAGTGGGAGACAAAAGATTAAGCCTTTAATAATCTTTAAAGGTAAACAGAGTTACGAGGAATCCAGGAGATCATAGCATCATATTGCAAAGCGAGAGGAGAAAGAAGGGCGATATGATTCTCGAGTTTCCGTAAAGTGGAATCAGACTGTCTATGCGAACACGGGCGTCTTGGTCCAATGGATTAAGAAAGATCTTGTCCCTGCGCTTCCCCCAGGGCCCCGAATGCTCGTCCTTGATATGGCCAAATTTCACTCCACCACCGAAGTTCTAAACACATTACCCTCAAACAACATTGTCCCATCCCTTATACCAGCAGGTTGTACTTCCCTAGTACAGCCATTGGACGTCGCCATAAACAAACCATTCAAGGAAATTCTTTCCAACATTCTTGATCGGAAATTAGACAAATATGAAGAAAACCACCGGGTTAACCTTCGAGAAATCCCTCGCTCTAATACCAACATTATTGCTGAGCGGAGAGTCCTTGTTACTTGGGCTGTGGGCGAGGCATGGGAAACCTTTAATTCTCAGTACCAAGGCCTTGTCATCAGCATATTCCAGAAGCTAGGCATTACACTACCTATCGATGGATCCTGCGATCATGAGTTAACTGTAAAAGGAATTGATTCCTTACTATTACATGTTAGGAATTGGAGAAAACAGAGGGAACAGCAAACAGAAGACTACAACTTTCTTAACTCACAAGCGGGGGTACAGCCTAGGACTCGAGGAGACAGGAGGATGGTTGAAACTGCTGGGTGGAGTAATATTCAAGTTGATGGAGAAGTTATTGGGGTGGCAGATGGCCCAGGAGAGATAGGTGAGGGCTCGGAGGAAGATATGGCGGAAGATTTTGAGTCTGAATATGTTGACAGATCTGAGTGCTGAGTTCTGGCAATGAGTTTTTGATGCCGCCTGGACCAATAAAGTTATTATAAACATATGTGAGCCCTATTACATGATACTAACTTGAAGATCTAAGTATAAAAAAAAGTGGAATTTTCAGAACATGTAATTCTACCTGTGTCTCCGAGCATGTAAACTCGGCAATCATCACCAATCCCTCCATCTTTTCTTATATTTGGCTGGAGCGGGACCTAATTACCAAGCCCCACATGTTAGCGTCCACACTTAGCGCCATTTCGGGTTTACCCAAAAAATGCGGTACTGTGTAAGTTAGAATTCAAAATTCTACCAACTCATATATAAACTCATATATTTAAGTCAGTTCTTTATATATCAATTTAAGCAACAAATAAATCAACTATAAGTCATATAAAACTAGAATTAAAACTCATGACTATGAGCCTGAGTCCGATGAAACTTAACTATTACTCTAATTATACTGTAAGATATTCAGGAGCTCCCCAATACCTTAAATATTTGTTCATTTGAATATTTCCTGATTCATTCCTCTATGTTTATTTCATTTTTAGCTGATTCCAATCTGTATATACAAAATCTTATCCTACTCTGAGTCTTTCTTCTTTCCATATTATCCCTGTTCTCCACCCACCCCTCCTGGGCTACTTCCAGTGATTGGACACTTGCTGCCTGTGACAAGTACTATGTCAATTCGATCAGCTCAAATTATTTTAAATCCTATAAACCCATTGTAAACTTATAACAATTCTTCCCGAAAGACTCGTAACGGCAATGACAGCAATTTTCAAACCAAACCATCCGCCAATGTTGGTGATTGTAGCTCCCGCCAGTTCTCGATTGCTCGAAAAGGGTTTATACGACTTCTTCCGAGACATCATCCTAGGATCATATCCGATCACTCGTTTGGCACTGAGACCTGGGACCCCTACTCCCCCCCCCCCCTCCAACGGTCATGCAGGTCCGGAGGTAGTGTGTATTTCGCAAGGTTTTACGGTACAACTACTAGGGCTTCCGCAGAAGTCACCCAGAAGGCAAATACAGCAATCGGGAAAGAGCCGCGGGGGCAGGGATTGCGGCTGGAAGTCTGTCTAGATAATATCGTTATGCGTACCGGGTGTTCGGTCACCCCGCAAGTTGCGCCTCGTCCTGGGGTGCACCGGATGGTAGTAACTCGGGTCCAAGGCATTACAATCCCTCTAACGATGGAGAGAGCACTGTTGAAGCTGCGATAGAACACTGTCTTCCAGCCATTCTCCGACCCCTTCTAATAAGTGTGCAAACACAGGGAGGTTGCACTATCATAGTCGTATCCACACCTTGATGTAGGGTACAGTACCTACTTGCCTGAGCCCCCTTTGGACCCGATATCATACCAACCTAGCGACTCTATGATATATGATATCTGGATTCGGGGCTATGATACCACTCCTGGCGCGTATTCCCGGCCGTATGGCCTCCATCTGTCACAAACACAGTTTTTAGATCTGATATCGGTCGAGCTGGCCAATATGTCTTTGGGGAAATGGGATGGTGGATCTCAAAATGGGGAAAACCGTGGAGGATTCAGCTCGGGTATGTGGCTTGGGGGCATCATGCAGTATCACTCGCTATGCAGTAGGTTTTCATGACCGGATTTTTCCCACCAGCGCTGGACCAAGTAACGCACACCGAGAAAGTGATCATACTACGGAGGCAGCAAACAGAGGGTGCAGGGAATCCGGGGATCATTGAGGTCGTTGTTCGGGCAATTCTCCTCCCTCCCGGACCCAATGCGCACAATCAATGTGATTTAGTTGAATTGTTTTCTGCTCGTATCTTCTGGTAAATTTCGCTAGGGCATGTATATCTTAATGCCTAATGGCATTGGATATCGGACTCTCATGAGAGAGTGTCGGGGGTGAATTAGCATAGGAGCCCGACTTTTTGCGGGGGCTTTTCGGGAAACAACTAGTTCGCCATGCAGCGCGTTCCATTGTTTATTAGTTGTTTCACCTGTTCCTCTGTATATCTTGTGGACGTGCATCTATTATATACTAAATATTATCATCAGCTAATTCTGAATTTGCCCTAGAGAATTTCCTTACTTCGTTGATTCACGATAAGCGTGCTCCGCCGCGGCGAAAGCCCATATTACCACCTAGATCTTCCAAAGCACAAATTCCAGGAATTGATATGAGTATGCAGCCCTGTTTTTAGTCTAAAGAAATTTAAACGCGCACACAAGCTTGTCTATAGTGCCGGTCCTCCACCGCCGAAGCCCCAATGACTCCCCCAAAAAACATTATATCTCTCTAATAACACCCAGAGGAGTAGAGAAAGAGAAAGAAAAACAGAGGATATATATTAAAGAAAGAAATAAAACGCCAAAACAAAACACGCGGGGCTTATCATGGGACTCAGCCAGACAGCATGCCTGTCCTGGCTTGTTTTATACGTTAGGGCTCAAAAGATCATACTTTACCAGATTTCCCACATCCTCCACAGAGCTATTGATGAACTGTCTCGCCTCGAGAGCTATCCAAACCTTTAACAGCCCAAAGTCGCTATTTCCGCCCTTGCCAAGCATTTGGGCTCCACTGCCAGCCCTGATCGATCTTAACATAGGCAACGAACTACGTATCTCAGCCAAGAGCCTGAAATATCTGCTTGAAACGGCGTACCTTTTAAGAAGATCTAGATTCGGGTCCAGACTGCGACCAATGCCCTCGAGGAGCAGGATTGATAGCACAACATTGATGAAATCTCCTTCCATCCGGACGTGATGGACCCTAACCATCTGCAAAACCTGACTCAATAGATCCCCAATTTTGATGTTTCCTAAAGCGAGTGTCCGGCTCTTCACGGCGAGGATAAGGTGTTGCATCTTGAGGGCGAATATTTCACTGTCGACCACAGCTGAGGGTGAGCGGCAGCGCTTAACCATGAGATGGCCTACGCGGTACCCATCGAATTCAGCTATGGCGCGGAAAAGGTCTAGAAAGTTACGACGGTTCACTGAGTTGAGCTCTGTTACAAGCCCAGTATCAATAAAGATAAGCTGTGGCCTGTACCCTTCATCGTCTAGTAAACCCAATTCCCTTTTCCATTCTTGCGGGTTCCCACGATGAGGCGTAAGTCTGGAAATGACTTCTTCTGTGACTTCCTTGTGATTCTTGGCACCTTTGGCATTAGCCTTGAGGTCCGGAACAACCAATGGAAAATGTGTGAAGGAAGAGAGTGGTTCGAGCTTGTAGAATCGGACCATTATGTTTCCGGGATGCAGATCCGCATGGATAAAGTTATCCATGATCAACATATGCTGGAGGCAGTTTAAAAATTAGCGTGGAGTGTCTAATCAGGAGAAGGTACAGACCAAGAAAGCGTCTAAGCCCATGTCTGCCATCTCCTTGCGAAATGGTCCGGCCCCAGATTCCAAAAACGAACTAAGAGGGACTCCGTGTGCAAACTCTTCTACTAAGACCTCTCGAGTAGTATAATTGCTGTAGGGCATGGGAAAGGTGACTGTGGTTCTATCTCCAAAGTTGGATCGAAATCTGCTAAGATTATTTGCCTCAATACGTAAATCCATCTGCAATCTCATCATTTCACTGAACTTGTCCACTTCATCCGGGAGAGATAGCCATTCAAGAGTTGGAACCAAATTTAGTAGCGATGCAAAGATGTGCATAATTCTGAGATCCCGGTGGACGATACGGTCTACCTTGGGATGGAGCACCTTGACTGCTACGTGCGAAGAGGGGACATCCTGATGGGGAGCTTCTTTTACAAGGACATCAACCTTTCGCCGGAGGTGTTTCTTAAAATCCGCTTCGCCCTCTTCGTGTAACCTTGGTAATAGATGCGGGTTCAATTTAGCCCGATAGACCTGTGCAACAGCCCCAATTCCTAACGGTCTCTCATCGAACTCCTCAAATATTTCATCGAAGGGTCTGCCACCAAAAGCCTGAGATATAGTCCTTTGCGTGTCTCGGAAGGAGTGGGCACGGGCATCAGAATGTAACTTTGACATCATCTCACACATTTCAGCAGGAAAAATGTCGGTTCTAGATGCTGCCCATTGCCCCAACTATCCAAGTTAGTCATCAAGACCCGGGGCACCGCGAGGGAGAGACAGACGGAGCATGAAATCAATGAATCCGATAGAAGACCCACCTTAATGAATGTAGGTCCAGCTCGCTCCATAGATTTGATCAAAAAGGAATACCAGAAAATAGTGCCAATACGCTCATTGCACCGGTCTGGCTGCCGTGGGCCAATGCAAGCTAAGGGTATCGCGAGGATAACTGGTACGAAAATCACTACCAAATGCACAAAACGGAGCCCCGTAGCAATCGGCTCGAGAATACACTCGATGGCAAGAATTCGAACACATTGGAGGGTGCGGAGGACCAATGACTGGCCCGGTGAAGCTCTGTGTGACGCTAGGAGTTCCCGTTCAGATTCCTCGAGCATCAACTGCTCGGTAGTTTTCTCTGGACCGGTCGCCCCAGTGTCAAGTGTCAATGGGGAAAACATGCCCAGATGTAGGGTAAAGGCCAGGGAAGTTGAGGCAATAAGGAGAGCATAGTTGCGGTTGGGCCGGGGCCAGCGTATGAGTTGGTTAGGAAAGGGGATTGAAAAAGTGGTGAGAGGAGATTTGGGGGAGGAGCGAGAAATTGTATGACGTATCGTAAAGAAGGACCTGGGCAGAACCCGTAGCCGGGGAAAGGATGACAACCGGAGACATGGTAGAGCCCTGATCGCCATAATTATTTCGGAATAAAGAAAGAGTTTTATAATAAAGGTCGAGACCGAGGTGAAATATAACGTGGTGTGGCCATGGATATATGGTCCCAGTAGCACTTGCAGAGGCAATATAAGTGGTTATGTTTGTTAAGGGTGGATTAGCGAAGGCGAACCAGAAAAGAGTTGGAGCATCCCGATGATGAGAGTACCGGTGAAACATCATACCGTGCCCTTAGAACCTACCGTACATAAAGGTACGCTAATTTTGCGTAGGGTATAGAATTACATACAGCAGCAAGCATGTGTCAATAGCCGCATGCAACTGTCATACTCGAGTGCCGGTATGGTGCTGTACGGGTATGATAGGGTATGATAGGGTATGATAAGGTATGATAGGAGTATCATATTAAATGTTGAAAAAGTTGACAGGAATTATGCTTTCTATAAGCTTGGCGCACATAGAAATAATGAATTTGCTAGTAACGTAAAATATCTAGAAGCCGGACGTTACACAGCAGTTAGAGAAGCAATCCATCAGATTTGATGGAGAGACAAAATTCTGGAATCTGACGAAAAATGATATGATAGGAGAAAAAATTAAAACTATAGGAATACCAAGACTGTTATTTCTTTAATCAAAAACAATTAGTAAAGGAATTTGAGGATATGGGGGTATGGAGGAAGTATAAAGTAATAGTACTTACAAATAATCTCTTAGTAATAAGAGAGCTTTAAAAAGAAGCAAGACTAAGGCCCTGTTTAGTAAACTACAGAATAAAAAAAACACTTCTTGGATTGGGAATGTAATATTATTTAATACTAAAATACCTAGGCCCTCTTTGGTATACAGTCATAAAATTATTATTTTTATAGAAAACTTGAATGTCTTTTATACTATTATAAAAAAGTATTATTTTTCAGAAATAATAGTATTTGGTAATATTTTCTCCTTATTTTAAGGTATGGTTCTGGAAGACTAAGCTCTAAATCAATTTTCTTACCAAATCTGTAACAATTTTGATTGTAATACTGAATGTAATACCGGTATATATCTTATAGGTTGCTAAATGCAAATGATGGAAATTCCAGTATTATATAATACTATAATAATAGAATAGCTATGTACATTTAGTATCAGCTACAAAATAATATAAAAGTACAATACCATATGCAAAATAGAGGTATATCTCTAATATGATACTGTAACATATTCACACTAGAGTACTAGTCATACTTTGGAATATAATAGAAGTAGCATTCAAGCTGACTCACAACTTGTAGTCATACTGTGCTGAGAAAAGTTCTAAGAGAAATGTATAAAAATTAGGAACTTGAAGAGATCATGGTAACCATTCAACCAAGTATATTAGAATACTATTTGTCAAAGACTGCTATTTATCAGCAAAAGTTATTCTTGTATTAGAGGCATGGTCAGCATTTCTAGATACATGCTGAGAGGATTCTGGGTCCCACTGGTATGTGTCTGTCACGGCCACCCAGCATGGTGGACGCGCAGGAATATTGGACTTTTGGTTGCATATATTAGCTGTGGTTTCGTTGGTTGCGTTATGGGATTTCCTTTGTGTTATGGATGGGATAGGTTGCCGCACAACGGAACCTGGCGGAACATGACGGAAGGATTGCGGCTGCGCGCGACGCCAAGGACTTTCTTTTGTATTAGTGATTATGGAGGATTTCCTGTCTATATAAGGGGGTGTGCCCCCTTATACTTTATGTTCTTTACGCAATCTGGTAATCTCCTCCGGACACCTGTACCTAGGAATTACACTTTCTACTTTCTGGCGTCCTCTTGAACCCCTGAACCCTGACCCTGAACCCCTGACCCCCAAGCCTCGTACAACTCGCTTCGGTTGTACCCCCGCACCTAGACTTTGTCTCCAGATTCCTGCCTATCCTGATTGTGGTGTGCCTTGGGCTACCCGACCCTCAGACCCTGTCTGTTACACAAGATTGCGTCTACCAGGACCCAACCCACACCAAACCATGGCTACCGCTCATCTCCCCGACAACATCAATGGTCCTCTCCAGACCCTCGCGGGCCTGGAAGATGACCACGCCCAAGGTCTCGACCAGGAACAACTCCAGGCCCAGTTCTACCTCGCCAGAAACCTAGCCCGCCAGATCCTGAACGCACCCGCTCCTCCTCCTCGTCAAGCCACCCCTGTCCCCCCTGAACAGACCCCCCAGTACCAACAACTGCAACAACAATGCAACCTCCTCCTGCAAGAACGAGACGACGCCCGTACCGAAGGCCAAGGCCTCGAGGCCTGTCTCGTTATCGTCGAAGCAAGCCTCACACAGGCCAACGCTACCATCACATCCTTGAACACCGCCCTCGCCCTCATGCCTGCTCCCGGTGCCACAGCCCCCGCTGGTGGCAACAAACCTGTCTCAATCCCCGATCCCGAACAATTCGACGGCACCACCGACAAGCTCCGTCCTTTTATCACCCAGTTACGAATGAAACTCCAGGGTGACAGCCATAGGTTCAATGGCATACAACACCAACTTGGCTACGCCATTGGTCTCCTGCGTGGACGCGCCTACCTCCAGATCCAACACAGGGTATTACCCGACCGCATCGATTTCGAAAACATGGATGCCCTTTTTACCGAGTTGGAACAAGCCTTTGGTGACCCTAATAGGGTCCAAACAGCAGAACGGGCTCTGAGGAGCCTCCAGCAAAAGAATCGCCCCTTCGTGGAATACCTGGCCGACTTCCAACGCCTTGCTGTCGACACCCTATGGAACGATGCGGCTAAGCGCACCTCCCTCTACCAGGGCCTCAGCACTGAGCTAAAGGACGCCCTGGTCCACGTCTACCCCGTTCCTGAACCCTTCAACGACTACCTCACCTTCCTCAAGCAACTTGACAACAACGTCCGTGCCCGTGCGGCCGACAAGAAAGGCTCCTCTTCATCCTCTTGGAGGACCTCCACTCGCGCTGCCCCACGTACCCCCGCTCCCGCACCCCCCCCAGCCTCCACAGCTACCGGTACCGCCTCCGGCCCCATGGATCTCTCTGCTGGCCGTAGAAAGCTCACCCCTATCGAAAGGCAAGACCGGATCGCCCGAGGTCTCTGTCTCTACTGTGGAGGACATGGGCATATAGCTCGCGCCTGCCCCAATAAAGGCCACCGCCCTATGCATGGGGCCAGTACACATACTGTTCCCGCTCCTGAGGAGCCCCTCCCTGCACCAGAAGAGTCGGAAAACTAGTGGTCCCATGTGCAGCCCCCGGCACTGACATGGGACATGTTAAGTCTTCTCCTAGTTTAGTTATTTCTAGTTTATCTTTGGACGAAATGGAAAATGGAATTGAGGATAACCACTTGGTAGTCGCCTGTGACATTATAGACAACCAACGCACGATCCGAACCCATGCCCTTATCGATTCTGGAGCAACTGGTTATGCTTTCATGGACATAGACTTCGCTAGCCGTCACCACCTACCTCTATCCCTGCTCAAAGAACCTGTCCACCTCTCTGTCATAGATGGGAGGCCCATTGGCTCAGGGGCCATCACCCATATCTCACGCTTCGACCTTAAGATAAATAACCACCTGGAATCCATCCCCGCCTTTGTCACTAAACTTGGTGGCTACCCGCTTACACTTGGCATCCCCTGGCTGAAACAACACGATGTTACCATACGCTTCGCTTCCAATACGGTTACTTTTGAGTCTGACTACTGTCTCAAGAACTGCACCCCAGACGTGACCGGTATCCAAGGAATCGAATATGAAATTCCCCATTTCCTCAAAGCCTACGCCCTCCAACGCGCCCTCGACCACACCGTGTTGGAACAACAAGAAGTCAAGGAAATTGTCCCTCCCGAGTACCACGACTTCCTACCTGTGTTCCTGGAAAAAGAACAGACCCAATTACCACCTAGTCGACCCGGTGTGGATCACGAAATACCTCTAAAACCCGGTTTCACCGCTCCCTTTGGCCCCCTTTACAACCTGTCCCCACCAGAGCTCGCTGCGCTCAAAGGATGGATCGATGAAAACCTGGATAAGGGCTTCATCAGCCCCTCCACTTCCTCCGCGGCCTCCCCGGTACTGTTTGTCAAGAAAAAGGATGGTACTCTGAGACTCTGTGTGGATTACCATGGCCTGAATGAAGGAACCATCAAGGACCTTGGCCCACTCCCCCTGTTAACTGAGACCTTCATGAATATCGCTGACGCCACAATCTACTCCAAACTGGATATCCGTGGGGCCTACAACCAGGTCCTGATGAAAAAGAAGGATCGTTGGAAGACAGCCTTTCGTACCCGCTATGGGCTTTTTGACTCCAATGTCATGCCCTTCGGCCTCACTAACGCTCCTGCCACATTTCAAGCGTTCATCAACAAGGTCCTACGTCAAGGACTAGATCGGTTCTGCACAGCGTACCTCGACGACATCCTTGTCTACAGCAAAACAGAGGAAGAACACGTCGAACATGTCCGTTGGGTACTGCAGGCCCAACAAGATGCTGATCTCGAACTCAAACCCCAGAAATGCGAGTTTCATGTCACCCACGTGGAATACCTGGGCTTTATCATCAGCCCGGAAGGTATCCGGATAGATAATGCCAAAGTAGAAACGGTTACCACGTGGCCCGTACCCGACCGTGTACGCGAGGTACGTGCCTTCCTAGGGTTCGGTAACTTCTACCGGCGTTTCATTCGTGCCTTCTCCCGCCTGGCACGCCCTCTCACTGCCCTCACCAAGAAGGACCAGCCCTTCGTCTGGACCCCTAAATGTCAGAAAGCCTTCGAAAGATTAAAAGAAGCCTTCACTACCGCCCCAGTCCTAGCGTACTTCGACTTCTTTAAGGAAGTTATCATCGAAACCGATGCCTCTGACTTCGTCTCTGCCGGCGTCATGTCCCAAAGAGACGATAGTGGACGTCTCCACCCTGTTGCGTTCTACTCTCGCAAACACAGCCCCGCAGAGTGCAACTACGACATATATGACAAGGAGCTCATGGCTGTCGTCAGGGCCTTCGAA